GGGAGGGAGTTTGGTTTTTTTCCGGTGATTTCATTCTCCTCGATTGGATCTACTTAGTCGGAGTGTGGTTTTGGTGAGGTGGAAGTGGAGGTGCGCGGCCAATTTAACTATGTGCGTTGGTGGTGCTATGGTGCAGTGAGGTGTACGGTGGAGGTGGTGGTGCGGTGGTTGGGTGAGTGCAATAGTGGTGTGGTACTATGCGGTGATGTAGTGATGGCTCAGGTGGTGTGGTGTGATGTTGATCGATTGTTATGACGTGATAGGGGTGCAATGGTGGTGATGGGTAGTGTTTGTGACCAAGTGTTGTGGTGGAATTGGATCGGGATCAGGTGTGGTGTTGCGGTGGTGTGGTGCAATCGACGATTGGATAGTGGTGGTTTGTTACCAAAATTGGTGCTGGATGGGACCGGTGATGGGGGTGACCATAAAGTTTGGTCTGTGACCTTAAAATTTGACAATCTGTGACTAAAACAATAATTTGTGACCTCAACGATTTGGTTCATGACATTAAAATTTGACGATCTGTGGCTAAAACAATAATATGCGATCTCAACGATTTGGTCCATGATCTTAAAATTTGATAATCTGTGACTAAAAAAATCTGTGACTTATAAAATTTTCGATTTGTGATCTCGAAATAATCTGTGACCAATTAATTTGATGATATGTTACTGGTAAATAAATCTGTAAATTCTATGACCATTAATTGTTTAACTGTGAGTTTAATATATTTATTTAATAAATAATTTTAATTAATTAAATACAAACTTGAATTTTGAATTTTCAAACTTCTTACCATACTTTTGAAATAGTGTAAAGAATATACCTTAAATATGAATTTTTCCCTTGTAAAAATACTATGTCAACTTAGTAATTGTAATGCAGACTTTATTTATTTTGCAATGACTTGTACGTTATTTGCAAGGGCAAAATTTTGTCGGTAAAGTGTCCAAATTTAAACTTATTTCTATGAGTTTGGGTTCAAATTTTGATAGATACGATTGAGAGCTGTGCTCGAGTCTCTAATAAAGAATGAGAGATCGAACCTTACTCCAATCTCTGTTGTCAGTAAAAAGTAAGTACTTATGTTGCATTTCAACTTATTTCATTTAATCGTTTTACCTGCCTTAATTAATTGCTAGCTGTCATATTCTGAGTCTTTAAATCCCTCTTCTTCTCCATTCATATCCCCCAAATTTATCTTCCTTCTTCTCCCACCACAAAAGATGCCTGAAATGTTGCCAAAGTATGTCAAACTTGGCTACCAATACCTTGTCGATCACATTCTCACCTTTCTGTTCATTCCAATCATGGCGGCCGTTTCCATTCAAATCCTCAAGTTAGGCCCCGAAGAAATTCTCACCATTTGGAACTCACTCCATTTTGATTTTGTCCAAATCTTGTGTTCCTCATTCCTAGTAACTTTAATTGCCACTGTGTACTTCATGTCAAAGCCTCGATCCATATACTTAGTGGATTACGCCTGTTACAAGCCTCCGATCACGAGTAGAGTCCCCTTTTGGACTTTCATGGAGCACTCCAGATTAATCCTCAAAGATAATCCCAAAAGTGTTGAATTCCAAATGAGGATTCTTGAACGATCTGGGCTCGGTGAAGAAACCAGTTTGCCTCCTGCAATCCATTACATACCTCCAAATCCCACCATGGAAGCTGCAAGAGGTGAAGCAGAAGCTGTAATTTTCTCAGCCATTGATACCCTTATGCAGAAAACAAGTATCGAACCAAAAGATATAGACATTCTTATAGTAAATTGTAGCCTGTTTTCTCCAACTCCTTCACTTTCTGCCATGGTTGTGAATAAATACAAACTCAGAAGTAATATAAAGAGCTTCAATCTTTCTGGAATGGGATGTAGTGCTGGTTTGATATCAATTGATTTGGCTCGGGATCTTCTTCAAGTTCATCCAAATTCAAATGCACTTGTTGTCAGCACTGAAATTATTACTCCCAATTATTATCAAGGTTCTGAAAGAGCCATGCTTCTTCCAAATTGTTTGTTTCGCATGGGCGGTGCTGCGATTCTTCTTTCGAACAAAAGGGGTGACAGAAATCGCGCCAAGTACAAATTAGTCCATGTTGTTCGAACCCACAAAGGTGCAGACGATAAGGCCTATAAATGTGTGTACGAGCAAGAAGATCCACAGGGAAAAGTTGGAATTAATCTCTCAAAAGACCTAATGATCATAGCAGGTGAAGCTTTGAAATCAAATATCACGACAATCGGACCATTAGTCCTTCCTGCATCAGAACAACTCCTCTTCTTGTTCATTCTTATAGGCCGGAAAATCTTTAACCCTAAATGGAAACCCTACATTCCTGACTTCAAACAAGCTTTTGAGCACTTCTGTATCCACGCTGGAGGCCGAGCTGTGATCGATGAACTCCAAAAGAACCTCCAGTTGTCAGCCGAGCATGTTGAGGCGTCGAGAATGACGCTGCACAGGTTTGGAAACACGTCGTCCTCTTCACTATGGTATGAATTGAGTTACATTGAGGCTAAAGGGAGGATGAAAAAGGGTGACAGAATTTGGCAGATAGCTTTTGGGAGTGGATTCAAATGCAACAGTGCTGTCTGGAAGTGTAATCGAAGAATCAATACCCCAAATATTGGACCCTGGCAAGATTGCATTGATAGGTATCCAGTGCACATCCCAGAAATTGTAAAGCTCTAATTCTTGATCTTTAGAGCAATAGGTCCATTAAATTACCAGTACTCTTTTCTTCTTCTTCCATTAATTTTGAAATGTTACTGCAAAAATTCTGCACGTTACTGATGTAACGTAAAGCTGTAATTCATTTTTATTTGATATATATATATCATTTGAGGATATGCTTGATAATGTATGATACAAAATTACTGTTCTTGAAAGCAGTGTCTCTGAGTTTTGGCACATTTATTTCTACAGCAAGGGAATATTTCTACTGCTAGTAGACTTTGCTTGCATTATAATTACTGTTCTTCAAAATTACTGTTCTTAAATTAGAAATGTCACATTTATTCCCTTGCTCTAGAACTAAATGTAGACCTTGCTTGCATTATAATTAGTAGGTAAGGTTAATTAGACAGTAACGTATAGTTTTAAAAGAAAAAAGGAAAAAGGAAATGTCACATTTATTCCCTTGCTCATCCATGACTCGTCATGTTTGGTTAGTCGACTAGAGAAGATTATAGAATATTAAAAATGAATGCAATATTGCAAATTTAATGGTGTGATTGAGTCTGGTACTGCAATTACAGGTGTACTGTCGGTTAGGGCAAAATTAGCAAATAAATTATTAATGTGAATGGACAAATGTCATTTATTATGGTAGCGACAGAAGTTCATTAATTGAACGGGACGTTAATTAAATTCTAATAATTAGGCAGTTCTAGTTAGGTAGTTTGAAGTTGGATAGAAATCGAAAACTAGAATAACTATTTAATTATTCTAAATTCACTCTTTTTATTTTAAAAGGTGTTTTAGTAATTGTAAAATCGCCATAGATGTTATAGAAGGCGTTGTTAAAAGCAAAAGCAATCACACTATGAATATAAAGAATTTTAACAAACAACATATGACGTGAAATCATTAGGGAAAAAAAAATGCATCTTCAAATGTCCGATTTAGGGTCTTGGAGTTAGACAAAGCCGTGCTCGAGAATTTAAATTACGTAAAGCAAGATCGTCACAAACTTCAGAACTTCCCAAAAAATAAAACAAAGCAATCACTCAAGAATGAAACGTTTACCACTAGGAACAAAATTAAATTATTTCAGAAAGTATTAATAACTAAAAAAATAATATTATCTTTTTAAAAAATTTGATGAGTAAATTTAGGCTGTAAAAAACAAGGCACCTGAGTCCCAAAAAAAAAACAAAAAAAACAAAAAAAAAACTGCTCTTGCGGGGGAACCTACAATGTCTATAAATTACCCGGTCTCGCAGATTTACATTAGACAGACAGGAAAGAAGCTCAACGTCAGGCAAAAGTTAATTCTAAGATCATAAACATTTGAGACTCAGCAACTATTACAGGACCATACTCAAAATACTGCACAAATTGTCCAAATTAGGGATCAATAGTGACCTTGTGTACTTGGGTTCTGGTACGGACCCTGCTTTGAGTAAACGTTCTCATATGCAGCTTGCTGAGAATTCAAGTCATAATAGGGGTTCTGAGAAGGATTCATGTTTGAATATGCACTGTTGCGTGTTGTCACACATGTCCTATCCACCTGGGTCAATGGCCCACTCATCCTCATCCACGTGGCATTCCTGTCGAGGTGGGTTATTTCTGAAGTGCTTCAAGCCGAGGTCCATCCGCCGAGGCTCCTCGATCCGATGTCCGCGGGTTTGCCGAAGTCCAACTACCGAGGCTCATGACCCGAAGCATGGAACCTGTTGAATGTAGCTGAGGTCCTCAAGTGGAAGTATTTGTCAAATGGTCGAAACCCCGAAACTGATGCACAAGCCTCTTAACCACAAGGAACTACCTCCACAGTCACTTCTCCCAAGAGATCGCCTGCTCAGAGATCTTATTCGAATGATTGATGAAACGTTTGTCACAAACATAAAGGTCAAGTCTTGTCACTAGTATGGAGGACCTGCGTAAGCAATAAATGCGCCGTAAGCTAGCAAGTCAAGTCCCATACCTAAGAAAAGACGTTTGAACTAAAGAGATGAGTCCACGTGCCACTTCATCCAAGGGCTCACATTTCATATGTGTCACTATAAATACTTCCATTGTGTAATGTCAAAGGCTAATGCAAGAATCAATACTAAAGACTACATTTCCTCAACTCTCTCTTATTTTACTTGCAATACACAAATCGAGTTTATACACTTTTACATGTACATTTACGAGCACCGGTTGGTAATTATTGTACAATCGGATTACGAATAACCCACCGAATTCCGAACGTCACCGTCCCGCGTCGTTGGGTTACTCCCACGCCCTTTTGAACCGCTCGTTTTAGACCGTTCACGTGTCTTAGCGTGTTGGACATTCTCCCACGCAAGCGCGGGTGGGACCGGCATCTGTTGGCGCACTTTTTGGGGTCAACATGCACCATGCTGAGAATTATAGCTCTGATACACACCTTGGTGAGAACCGTTATTGGGTCTGGTAGAAGCAGCAAATGACGGAAATGAAGTTTGTGAGGCATTCCAGAAGCCCCAAAATCAGAAGAACTAGAATGGGAATCCTGGAGCTTCATCCCTGTCCCAGCAATCTAGAATTTTAAAGGAAAAATTATCAACTCCATCAACAGAAATTCTAAATCAATATTTGGACTCAATAATTAGTTGTATCCTGTACTAGACTTGTCACCACTATAACTTGGACATACTAATAATCAAAACCCTTGTTATGGTGATCTCATTTAAGCTTGAGATGCAAATAGCTGAAATTGAGATACCTGTCTCAGGTGAGAAAATTCTGCACAGGACTGATGACAAATTCAGCAAATGTTTTAACCAAAAGTCAGTGTACAAGTACACTAGAGCTTAATTCAGTAGATCTTCAACTTTATTCTCGTGTGCTTAACAACTACTAGGGATGGCTTTGGAACTGGTGATGCCTGTCCCAAAATGCCCTATTATTACCAACTGGAAGCACAAAATGCAGAGATCTGGAGGTTTCCATGTCATGGTTACTACTGAAGCCTGTCATCAAACATCTTGCACTGGCAACTTGAAATAGTGAACTCCATAATAAAAACCACCTTTTTATAAGCTCCCACACTTCAGTACTGTGAAGAAAAAAATTAAATGAATGTATAACTATCAAACCTATCAGTTATCGATCTATCTGAGGATTAATGGCACAATTCAATAACTTCAAATAACTTTCATTTATTTTGCTCAAGAAAATAATCTTCATTTATGTTTTGATTCATCTATCGTCAAAAGTTTTGCACTTTCCTTATAATCAATGTATTAAAAGGTGTAAACAACAGGTATTGAGCATTCTGCCTTCACAAGGCAAGGTGTACTGAGGAGAAAGCCATAAAATGAACATTCAAAAATTCATAATGAAAACAAAAACTATGAATTACACTACTTTAAATGAGTCTCAAACTAAAAGAAAAGTACATACTCAAAAAAAAAAAAAAAAAATCTTGAAAGTCTGAGCAGACTTGACGAATTCTAGTAATTGATGACTTTAGTGTCCTAACCTGTCCTAAGGTCATCAATAATTAGAAAGTTATGGTTTGATAAAATTGCTGGGGCCATGATTAGATTGTCCTCTGGGGATGTTCGGGGTTGTCTGTAGACAGAAATTATAAGCTACTGCTAATAAATTATTTTAGTTATTATAAGAACTTAAAAGTGACATTGCTAATAAGCTCAAAAATTACAAATGACAGATGAATTGTTTTGAATCTCTTCCTCCAGAAACATTTACAAGTTCACTGAAATTATAAATATTTTGAGTTATTCCTGGTTGGTGCTTTCCAGCCCCCATATAAATTGAATTCCCTATTATGATTGGATTAATGTTAATAGATTGTCAATAAGCAGAGAACATATTTGAGATCACAATCTTATCCAACAATCCCTTCATTGCTTCTACATGATGTATAGAGATGAAGTATCCATCTTCATGAACTTCATGAACTTCAGTTTCGCAACTATGGAAGTGTACAAATGTCAACCAACCCCAGCATCCCAGGCCTAAACCAAAGCCATACCTGCTCTAATAGCATTACACGGCATATTTCATTTTTCTCACACGAGCTATGCATCCACAAACAAGTAACTTGAACAGAACTTAATTTCTTGGAAATCATTATTTCATCCCTGGTGGCAGACATATAGATAAATACATAAATAAATAAACCAACAACCATGCAGCACAGTTCAATATCTTTTAGGAATGTGAGGCAATTGAATATTCTAGGACACCTCAATACTTCCCAACCTGAATCAAAATGTAAAAACAGAGGAAAAGTAAAGGGGTCCAGCACAATCCATGCTACAGGTGAAAGTGGGATACAGGGCAAAAATAATTTTATTTCCACAAAAGTCGATAAACCTCACCTCAGTGACATAGCTAATTCCATTTCTCATGACAGAAGCAATATTTGAAATCTCAGCCTCCTTCTCATGGTTGACACTCATGTAACTATGATATAGCAATTAAAAGAAAAGGTGTCACCTACTTCATTAGGCTAAACAAAAAAAAAAATGAATGTGTGAATGACTTGATATTAACAGTGATCATTACTCAGTAGCGCGTTGAGGAACTGGAAAACTTGGAGGTTCACACTCACGAACACCAGCCTGACATTCAGTATAAAGAATGCTTAACACTATCTCGAAACAATGTTAAAATTGCAAGATATGAATGAACCAGCAATTTTATTTCTGTGAATTAGAATGACATTTATTGTGTAAAATAAAAAGAATGTCTATATTCACGAGTTTGAGGAGAAGAATGTCAGAAAGGACTACTTTTAGGAAGTTAGTTTAACTAGTTGCACCGGCGCTTGGGGCCTAGAATAAACAATTTCCAAAACCTACATTTTTCTGGTTCACTGACTGTCCAATGTGTGCAGTTTAATGTATTTACTGTAGTCAGAGTTAATTTAGGGGAATATGCCAATTTTACTGTTAGCTACAATTGTTCCTTCCTCATTTTTTAAGTAAAACAAATCCAATACTCCTCCCTCTCTTATCTTCATGGTATTTCTCAATTTTTTTTTTCTCAAAAAAGCCTCCAGCACTCATTTAATTAGAAACAATTCATCTCTCTGTTCAATTCTATATGCTTCAGACACCTATACGTACAAAGAAGGTTTATATATACTGCCCCCCAGGGCACATCCAAGTTGGGGGAACAATCACATTGGGGGGCTCTGGAACCAAGCGTGGGGAGTTCGATTCCTGGTTGGAGCAGCCAAGTGATGTAATAACCAGAGGAAGGGCTGGAGCAGTTTGGTGATGTAATAACCATGAAGGAGGCTCCCTTTGGGGAAGGAGTAAAAGCCATGTGGGAACCTGGGAACCAACAAGGGCACATCCTGCGATTTACCTCCCTGAGCAACTGAGGGACCGGGAGGTTCAGGGACGAGGATATAATCTGGCGCAAGCTGGGACACCTCGTTAAAAAAAAAAAAAAAAAAAAGGTTTATATATACTGTTATGGCTTCTGAATCAAAGCACCAATCTACATTGGATAAAGAGATGTGTACAAACACATTTGTACAAAATGTGTTACACACTCTCACAAAAAGCGGGTCTCACGTGAATTTAAAAAATGTCGACTTGTAGTCCCCTCCCTCTATTGTGAGTAGCGAGTAAGAGATTTTGTAAAATAAGTTTGTAAATGTAACATGGTCCATCTACATTAGAACCCTAGCTTTAGTGCCAATAGATACTTGTAACACAGAAATTTAGAGGAAATTTGAGGCATGTCCAACCCAAGCGACAAATTATCAGGCGTGAGATCTACATTGACTATTTACATGTGGCATGTAGGAGTAGTTTTTCAGCTAGCTTTTTTTCCCCTTTTAGCTTGAACTAACAAAATCTGACAATACATGGTTAGCAGCATGATTGCTACAACTGCTTTTCTACACAAATCAAATTTATGGTAAAATTAAAAGCAAAATTACAGTGGAAAGAGGTAATGTGAATTATCAGATTCTATCCACCCCTTCATTTGTAATCAATTGCTGTTGTCCCTACTAATAAAAACATCTTGATAGCCATTGCATTGTAGGCTTTCAGCAGAAGCACAAAGAAAGTATGCTCTACTTTTCCTCAATGTTTTTCACTTATAACACAATCAGAAATTTTAATTTTAGCATGTTGTCCCTAAATTTATAAGTTTATTGCTTAAAGTCAAGATTTTACATATGATGCAATTGATACATACTGACTGACTTCACCTTGCAGGAATAATATGATTTCCCTCATCGAAGAAACAGATTATTAGCCCTTTTATTCACCAGAGTTTAAAACTGATACAATTTCACATTGAAAGTTATGTGTCAAGCTTGATTTGCATGTTAATAATTTTATGCCAAGTTCACTTAGTTTATTTAGTGTTTCCACTAAACTAAATATAAATATGCAGAAACTGATTTTGCACACCAAATATGCACATATATGTAATGATTCAATAAAGTGAAAGCATATGCACTTAGCCTACATAAAGTGTGCACCATGAGCTTAAGCTCTAACTGGCCTTGCCACGGCTTTGCACTTTGCAAGTTTAATTATGAAGGCGTAAACTCAGACATTTCAATTACATTATCGATAAAGCATGTATAAAACAACATATACTCCCCCTCTGCGAACCCAAATAGTTCAATTGACAGTTTTTCAGTTCATACTCTCCAGGCGAATAAATAAGAAGCAAAACCAAATATGATTAAGCATTTAACTCTGTTTTGCACTCCTTCCAGGACCATCAAAACCTGGAAATCATTTCTTTAACTTCTATGTAGAAATTCAGTTCCGCCTCTGGTGTGTGTGAAATTTTTTTTGATAAGCAATCAAATATTTTATTAATTATGAATATTACACCGGATGTGTACTATCAATTTATACAAGAAAGAAACAATATAAAATTGAACAACCAATCTTTACGAATAGTAGTCGCAACATTAAACCATTATACAATATCAAATAAAATAATTTTTTAATATGCTCTGTTATCCTTGAATGATCATCAAAACAGCAGTTATTTCTCTCCCTCCACACACCAAATGATGCATCCTAGAATAAGGTCTCAAACAAACTTACTATCCTTATTACGAAATTTTCTTTTTCATGCTTTCAATACATCCTCTAGAAAAACGCAATTCATGTGTTGAGAAGCCAAAATATCGTTTCACAGGAAACGAGCATAGTCACAATGAAGGAACAAGTGGTCAATTGTCTCCTCATTCTCCTACATATATAACACCACTCTGTAAACAAAAAACCCCTTATTCGGAGTCGGAGCTTATGCACCGCTAACAACTGCCCTTCACAACCTTTCATAGTAAAAATGCTACCTAGGGGGCAGTTTACATTGCTATACCATCTTCTAGGGGAATTGAGCTCTCCACAGGTCCCACTAAGGACCTAAAATAATTAACAACTAAAAAAAATACTATCACGTGCCAACCTCTACCAACTACAATCACCCTCTCCTACCCTAATGTGCACATCATACAAAGAGGTCACAAGCATCACATAATCATCCAACTCTCAATCTTGCAAACCCTTCCCAAAAGCAATGTTCTAGTTGAGATTCCCATTATGTATATGTAAAACCTCATTCACCATAGCAGAAGGCATCAAAGCAATACGCTACAAAGAAGGAAACCCCATTCTTAACGGTCGATTTCCACACCAACAAACTTCCCAAAATTTGATAGTATTGTCATTCCCCACCTCAAACGTCAATCTATCCCGAAAGTCTCTCCACCCTCGTTAGATATACCTCCACAAACTCACCCCATACGAACCACGAACCTCGACTGCGCACCATCCTCCCTCCATAACACCATATTCACCTCTATAATTTCTCTCCAAAAGATCTCCATCTCCACGCCAAGTTTCCACAACCACTTACCCAACAAGACCTTATTAAACAATACCAAGACTCCTTAATCCAAGGCCCTCGTCCTTATAAGAGAACAAACTGTACCCCAATTAACCAAGTGAAGTTTCATCTCCTCTCCTAACCCTCTCCATAGAAACTCCCTTTCAAATTCTCTCTAATCTTTTTGCTATCGAGACAGGAATAGGAAACAATGTCAAGATATAAGTAGGGAGATTCGATAGAGTGGACTTAAGGGGGGTGAAACGACCTCCCTTTAAGAGGTACATACGTTTCCAACTCGCTAGCCTCATATCCACTTTTTCCACAAAACTGTTCCAAATATGTATACTTTTAAAGCGTGCTCCTAAGGGGAGCCCAAGTTATGATATAGCAGCTGCGCAATCCTACAACCTAATATAGCTATCAACTCCTCCACATTATCGACATCTCCAACTATGATAGCCTCAGATTTTTCCAAATTTATCTTCAATCCAGATACAACTTCAAAGTATAGAAGCAGACGACGCAAGTCCCTGAATTGCTCAGCATCTGCATCACAGAAGATCAATGTGTCGTCTGCAAATAACAAATGGGATACCTGCAATTGGTCAATCATAAAGCCCCTTAATAGATTCCCCACAACCTTCTCAAGTATCCTACTGAAAGCCTCCATAACAATAACAAACAGCAATGGAGACAAAGGATCCCCTTGCCTCAAACCTCCGCTACTCCGGAAATAACCCTCAGGAGTGCCATTCACCAAAACTGAAAAGGAAACCGTAGAGATACAAAACTGAATCCATCTGCATCACTTACCGCGAAGCCACATCGTCTAGGCATATACAAGAGTAATCCCCAGTTCACGTGGTCATAGGCTTTATGAATATCAAGCTTACATTACATCCCTAGAACCTTTATGCACAATCTCGAGTCAATACATTCATTTGCTATAAGTACACAATCTAATATCTGGCGCCCTTTGACAAAAGCATTTTAAATCTAAATTTTTTTTTATAATACGAACAAATATTTATAATATGAAAAAAAGAAATTTTGAAACAATTTTCAAAAAATATATGATTAAAAAAAAACAAATTAAACAAAAAAAAAAGTTACGAAAATTAAATCAAGAATATATAAATGTTATTTAATTAAAATTGAAAAGTAATGTTTTATCATGAAGAGAGAAAAATTAAAAAGAATTTTAAATCGAAAAAATTTATTTATAACATGAACAAAACAAATTAAAAATTCTCCATCCAAGATGGAGCTTTTAGCAAAAGGTCATCGCACATAAACAAGATGGAGAAACTTTCCATTTTCAGTGATTGCATTTTATTGAATTTTAAGGACTCTTCGCTTAGCACGAGACTACGGTAAATTAATCCATTTAAAAATTGGTAAATGAAAATTACAATTAATCCATTTCAAAATTGGAAAAAAAAAAGGAAAAAAAAAAATTCTCCAAAAGTCGTGCATACTTTGTGCAGCACGGAGAGTGCCAGTGCTGCGTGTACTCTCCACGAAGCAGGAAGAAGCGTGATACTCTAAATCCTACAAAAGGTCATTGCACATAAACAATCTTATAAACTATTTTTTCTTTCTCAACATTGTCCATCCAATTTACCTGATAAAACATGCACAAAAAATTTAAAATTTACAAGAAGACACACGTTTTCTAGACCTAAGAAGACATACGTTTTCCATGAAATATGCAACAAAAAAGAGATTTTAAAATTTAAAATGAAGTGGGAGAAGAGCACAGGCCTGGTTATTGGACTAATTACTCCATAAACGAATTTTACCCCAAACGAATCTCTCTCTCTCTTTGAATCTATCCAAAACTAGCACGGTCTACCCCTTTCTTCTAATGTCGTCCAATAATCACTATTCAATCTCTAGGATTGGTCTTCTGTATCCCTTTAATACGAAAGCAAGTGTGAAATTTACAAGCATTTCTCGTCGCTAAATAATTTCTAAGTAAGAGAAATTAATTTCAATAATATAGTTACAAAATTATCTCAGAAGCTAGAATTCACCATCATCTTGAAGCTATCTTTGAACAAAATTAATATCATGCCTGTTTATGCAAACTAAAATGAAACACGATAATCAAATGAAAATTTAAGAAAAATGATGATTAATTCAAAATCAGATGGGGATGAATCACACACAACACACACTTAGTGATTGATAAGCAACATTTATGTATTATTCTGTAAATT